AAAGTTGGGTCCCTATACTGGCCAGCCACCAAAAAATAAAACTCACCCTCTTTAAGTGTGCAGTTTTTGAGTTTTGACAAGGTATACAATCATGTAAGCACTACCACAGTCAAGATATGCAGGATGTAGGCTGGCTGGTTAGCTCAGATGGTTAGAACACAGCCAAGGTCATGAGTTCAGATCCCAGTACCAACCAGCCACCAAAAAAAAAAAAAAAAAAAGATAGAATGTTTCCATCACCCCAAGAAGTTTTCCCATGCCATTTTTTCATTGTAGAAGTCAGTGAGAGTCTGCTGTCTTGGGCTGGTGGATTAGTTCAGTTGGTTAGAGAGCAGCCTTATAATACTAAGAACATAGGTTCAGATCCTCAAAAGAATCCTCTGTGTTATTTGTAGTCAACCCAACCCAGCCAAAAAAAAAAAAAAAAAAAAGATAGAATGTTTCCATCACCCCAAGAAGTTTTCCCATGCCATTTTTTCATTGTAGAAGTCAGTGAGAGTCTGCTGTCTTGGGCTGGTGGATTAGTTCAGTTGGTTAGAGAGCAGCCTTATAATACTAAGAACATAGGTTCAGATCCTCAAAAGAATCCTCTGTGTTATTTGTAGTCAACCCTTTCCTCCTAGGCTCTGGCAACCACTGACTTGATTTCTGTCCCTATAACTGCCTTTTCTTGAATTTCTTTTTTTTTTTTTAAAGATAATCGGCAAGGGGATCTTCACCCTTGACTTGATGTTGTCAGCACCACGCTCTCCCAAGTGAGCCACAGGCCAGCCCTTTTCTTGAATTTCATATAAACAGAATCCATACATTTTGAGAAAACAATATGAATCTTATTAAAAACTTCCTTTAAAAACATTATAATTTGTATGTGATGATTCTTGGAGTGTGAGATGTTACTGTTCTCTCAGATTTGTTACCTGAAAAAATAAAAATAAAAATTTTAAAAGATGTTACTGGCCATTACTGGTGAATTTTGTTTATTCTCCAGTGATATGCCTTGGTCTTTAGGCAAGTTAAACCAACTCACATGGGACTTGTGAGTCTCCAAGCTAAAGTAATCTCTCCATGGCTAGCCCTATAGATCACATCTATTCCTTTTTTTTTTTTCCCCCAAACTGAAAAACCTGATAAATAATGAATAACAGAAATGAGTTTGGGCTTGCTGGCTTGGAGATTGAAATAAGGCCCATATGGAGCTAGGTAAACAGCAACACGACATCTTTGGAAAGTTTTTTTTTCTTTCAGGGTTATGCATATTCTAATAAATAAGGACATTTCTTATTGTAAAGATAGCTAGGGAGGACCACTAGAACAGAAGAGTCAAGTGTTTTTGGCTATGAAGTGAGCAACTGTTGTCACTGTTGTCATAAACAAAGCTACCCACTCTCTTGTGATGAAGTGGCACACAATAATTAGTGATGCTTACCGGGGGTGGCTGTGGGCACTTACTGTCAGGCCTGGTACAGCTGGCACTGTGCCACTGGCAGAACAGGGCAGGGAACTCTGAGGACATGCTGGTAGGTTTGAAGACAGATTCCAACATGTGCTGGATGTGTGACATTAAGTAAATCACTATGAACTGTCTTCATATCTCTTGCCCTTTTTTCTACACAGTAGTAGGTTTTTTCTTGTCCACTTTTTCTAAACACTAATACTTTGTGACCGACATTACTGATAATTTTTCCAGCTTATCATCTGTCTTAGACTTTGCTGATGGTGCTTTTTGTCATACTGAAGTTATAGATATGGAGTGAGTCAAACTGATCAATCTTTTTCTTTATTGCTTCTAGATTTTGAGTCAAAAGTTATAGAGGAATTTACCTCCTTTCATCTAATGCTTTGATAGTTTCATTTTTATCCACTGTGGTAAACAGCCTCCAAGATGACCCCCATCCCTGGTATTTTCTCTCTCACATTGAATACAGCTAACCAGTGTAACAACTGGATACTGTGGAAATGACAGAGTGTGACTTTTGAGACTCAGTCATAAAAGGTCTTTCCACAGGGCTGCTTGGATGTTTGGGGGACTTGGTAGTTAACTTCCCCCTGAGAGAGTAATCCATGAGTGAGGAAGGAAGAAGCCATGATGCCTTTTATGACTGAGCCTCAAAAGTCACACTCCAAAACAGAAGCAAAGAACAGTCCCTGAGCACCAAAAGAGAGACAACTATTATATTCAAATCTAACGTGTTCTGCTCACAGGACAAATTAATTTATGTATATATTACTTGTCTATTGCTGTTAACAAATTACTCCAAATCTTGGTGGCTTAAAACAATAAACATTCGTTATTTCACAGTTTCGGTGGATCAGGAATATGAGAGTATCTAGGCTAGGTGGCCCTGACTCAGTATCCCCCGTTAGGTTGTGGTCAGCATGTCAGCATGTCAGCCTGGGTTTGACGGGATGACAGATCCATTTTCTCAACGGTTCACTCATATAGACATTGGCAGTGTCTGATTCTTCACTGCATCCAGCTTTCCTTTCTGTAAGTCATCCAATTAATAGATATCTCTGATTACCAAATGGACCTGCCTGCTTCCTGCTTTGTTCTCAAAGTACCTTCTCAATTTGGAGGACATCATACTTTAACACCTCTTTGCACAGAAGACTTGTATTTAAACAAGCTCTTTCCAAAAAATAGTAATGCTGCTTTTTTTTTTTTTTTTTTTTAAGAT